CATTTTCATATTTGAAAACAATCTTAAGTTATATGTTTAATATATATAAATACAGAAATATCTTATGGCAAACATAGTTTTCTAATAGTTACATATTGCTATAGTCTGAGCGTTTGCAACCCCACAAAATTTTTATGTTGAAATCCTACCCCGCAAGGAGTATTAGGAGGTGGGGCCCTCGGGAAGATTAATGCCTTTGTAAAAGAATCCTGAGAGAGACTCCTTACCCATTCCACGATGTGAGGACATTGCTACAAACCATCTAGCAACCAGAAAGAGAGTTCACACCAAACACCAAATCTGCTAGCACCTTGGACTTCCCAGCCTCCAGAACTGGGAGAAATACATTCTGGGCTTTATTATTATTATTATTATTATTATTATTATTATTATTATTGAGACAGGGTCTCACTCTGTCACCCAGGCTGGAGTGCAGTGTGCCACTGTCACAGCAAACTGCAGCGTCAACATCCCAGGCTCAAGTGATCCTCCTATCTCAGCTTCCTGAGTAGCTGGAACCAGGATTTTTTTTTTTTTTTTTTTTTTTTTTAAAGAGACTGGGTCTTACTATGTTGCCCAGGCTGGTCTCAAACTCCTAGATTCAAGTAATCTACCTGCCTTGGCCTCCAAAATGATGGGAGGCATGAGCCACTGCACCCTTGCCCAGCAAATTCTGTTGTTTATAAGTTGTAAGTTTATGGTATTTTGCTACAGCAGCCCAAGTGAACTAAGACATGCTTTTCCAGTAACTAATGTTTACACACTGACACACAGGTTAAAGAAAACCATATTAAAGAAAGTATATGTCTTCTATGATTATACAGAAAAAAAGGATAAGAAGGCAAACATTTAATGATCTGGTATATTTTTAAAGAGTTCCTTAATCCAGTCTATTCATAAAATTTTTGAAAGATTCTGCTTTCAGATCATAAAGGGGAAGCTGATATAATTAAGCTTATAAATAAGACTACTTCACAGGTTGGAAAACCCTTAGAGTGGAAATGATAATGAATCTCAGGAAAAACATAACTATAATCTTTCTAGATAACTATTAATATATACACTTTTTCTTCAGTGGAAATTTTCACTATTTATCACCTTTGTCATCCCCCTAAGACCATCTGTGACCTCCATATGTACACATCTTTTCCTCTGATAGTAATAATAATCACTACACAGTTTATATTCTAGTCATGACAGAAAATATTAAGATTCCTTGAGGAAGGATCAAAAGAATATCTTAGTCAGTTTATTCCATTTACTCACAGTATACCATTTGACCTATAAATAAAAACAGCAGTCAGTGATTACTTTTGGAGAATGCTGAGCTATGGAATCAAGTGGATTTGGGTTCAAACTCTAACTCTGGCATTTACTTGACTACAAGGTTTTGGACAAATCCCATTAGCCCTCTGAACTTTGGAGAGAATCTTCAGTTGTACAATGGGGTTAGCAACAGGTAACAACAGGCCGTTCTAACAGAGCAGGGTGTATGGTAGACTTTCAATGTCCAGCAAAGCCTTCTCTTACAATTCTCCTTTGGTCTCCCATGCCTATCTTCCATTCCTGTTTTCAACATAGCTATATAAAGTCTCCTGTTCCATATTTTCACACATTTTTTTTTTTTTGAGACGGAGTTTCACTCATGTTACCCAGGCTGGAGTGCAATGGCACGATCTCAGCTCACCGCAACCTCTGCCTCCTGGGTTCAGGCAATTCTCCTGCCTCAGCTTCCTGAGTAGCTGGGATTACAGGCATGCGTCACCATGCCCAGCTAATTTTTTGTTGTTTTAGTAGAGACGGGGTTTCACCATGTTGACCAGGATGGTCTCGATCTATTGACCTCGTGATCCACCCGCCTCGGCCTCCCAAAGTGCTGGGATTACAGGCTTGAGCCACCGCGCCCGGCCTTTTCACACATTTTTTAAAAGTCTCTCCAATTCAGATCTGGATTTATATCTTTACAGGTCCTCAATTCTATATTCATGAAATAAGTGAAGGAAACAACAAAGTTCTAATTTCTCCACCGTGATTATTATTTTGAATGCTTTTTATAAAACATTAATTAGCAAATCCTTTTCAAGTTTATTTCAGCTTGAGGGTCCTTGCTTTGCTGGTGCTCTAAACACTTACTTAAACTGCCTACTGCATAACATAGTACTGCTCCAAATGTTGCATTATCTGCTTCTAGAATTACAGAGGAAGAAAACAAAGGGTATATAAGGAAGGGAGAAAGTTAACACTTATGGAGAATGAGTGGTGCTTACTAAATGATCCATAAATGTAATTTGCCTTCTGCCCTTCATTCTTAGTTTTTAAAATCTGGGAAAGTATTAATTTACTCCCTATTATTAGATAAAATCCCCCTAAGACCATCTGTGACCTCCATATGTACATATCTTTTCCCCTGATAGTATTTCCCTTAATAGTAAGTGGTCTACATATGTTACTTAACTTGCGCAAATGTCTCTCAAGATAGGTATCAATATCCCAAATTTACAGAAGAGGCAGTAAGACTCAAAGAGAATAAGGAACTTGCCTGTGATTTTTTTAAAACTACATTATATTTCCTTCAAATGCTGATGACTAAAAATGTCTGAATATTTACTCCCTATTATTAGATAAAGATTTGGCACATTTAGACTATCTGTCTCCTTCTCCTTTATCCCATTTTTTAGAGTTTATGAGTTTTATTTTTCTATTATGTATATTTGTAATATAAAATAATATTGGTTCATCAATATTAGATAGCATGGCATATCTTCATTCTTGTATAATCTTAAAACAACTGTTTTTGACATGTATTATTACCTTCATTTCATTGATAAAAAAATTGGGCCGACACGGTGGCTTATGCCTGTAATCCCAGCACTTTGGAAGGCCAAGGTGGGCGGATGAGATCAGGAATTCAAGACCAACCTGGCCAACATGGCAAAACCCCATCTCTACTAAAAATACAAAAAATTAGCTGGGCATGGTGGCGCGTGCCTGTAATCCCAGCTACTCTGTAGGCTAAGGCAGGAGAATTGCTTGAACCTGAGAGGTGGGGGTTGCAGTGAGCCGAGATCGTGCCACTGCACTCCAGCCTGGGCAACAGAGTGAGACTCTGTCTCAGAAAAAAAGAAAAGAAATTGAGGCTCAAAAGTTAAGTGGCTAATAAGGTAGAACTGGGATTTGAACATTTGCAAGGTAGAGCAAAGAGAGAAAACAATATGTCCCTAGTAAGTAATTACATTGTCAGAAGACAGTTATAAACAAGAAAAAACGTAATACCCTACTTGCTGTAACTAAACCTCTGTTTCTTTCTAGCATAGTATACTATTTTCTTTTTTCTCTATTTCAAACATTTATTATGTAGGTAACATTTAGAGATTCTAGTTTGTGCTGTACTCTGGTGAAAAGATTCAAAGGAATACCAAACAAAATTGTACTTTGTTCTGTGAAGCTCATTAACGTGACTATTTTTATTGGTAGCCTCGTACTATATTGTGCTGAAATAGTAATACTCTATTAATTTCTTGTTATTTGCATGAATAACACAGTGACACTCAATAGCCCAGCCCTTAGGAAATATAACATCATTGAGTGCCAAATTCAGAAATAAAACAGATGCCCAGAGACAAGCAGCTCTCGCCATCACAACTATGCTCTTGGAACAAAAAATAAATAAATAAATAAATAAAGGATGGGGAAAAAAGGACACCTACTTGTTGGGAACCAGCCCAACCCTGTTTGTAGGTTCCAGCAGTGACGAGGGGTCTGGGGGTCTAAGGCACTCTGGTGGGGTGATCTGCGTTGGCATGAAGCTCTGGGCTTCATGCACTTTTATTGGGTACGTTATCTTGTTAATCTTGCAGGCTGTAGGGAGGGGGGTTGAGAAGGAAGATAGCCAGAGGAAGAGCATGTGTCTGCAGCATTCAAAAGCAAACGAGGTTCTCCTAAGAAATCCTAACTAAGGACACTGAGATTTTACCACCCATCGTCTATCCAGGTGCTTTGGTAAGAGGCACAGCGGATAAGGTGCCATAAGGTCTGATCACACACAATGCATCGTGGACACAGAGCAATCGAAATTGCTCCAACAGCTCCTATCTGCAAAGACCCTCCCAAGTCTTGTGAGCAGAGGTTGCATTACTTCCCAGAGTCTTTTGCATAAGCTCGCTTTATGAGAACCTCACACAAACTCTTTTGTGTTGGGAAGAGTTGTGGGACCAAAACAGTTTTTTGGGCTCTGCAACCACACTGCAGTGTTCCGCCCTTATAGGGTGCTCTCAGATGGTCTTTACCATAGGCCTTCTGTTACCGCTGGATCTCTGCTTTTATTTTACTGCACCATAGTTTGGATATGATCTGTGGCATAAATCTCAGTATATAAAAAGCAAAGCAAGCTTGTAATCATTTAACTATAAGTAACACAGGTCTGCCCAGATCTACTAGCTGAATCTGGTAGCCCATATCAACAATGTCTGCTTACATTTCATTGTCCAGAATTATGTCATCTGTGATATGGTCAGCCCATCTGAGAGAAGGTTGACAATGTAGCATTTGTAGGTGGCACATTGCCTCCATCAATTTGTAAGAAAGAAGAGGAAAATGATATTGGGTAGGCAATAGTATTTACTTTGGAAATATAGAAGATTTCTAAAACTTAACATGTTCATAATTTTTAAATTTTACTTTAGGTTCTGGGGTACATGCACTGATGTTATAGACTACTGCTTTAAAAAAAAATTTTAGTTTAATTCTGGGGTACATCTGCTGAACATGCAGGTTTGTTATATAGATATACATGTGCTGTGCCATGGTGATTTGCTGCACCTATCATCAACTGATCATCCAGGTTTTAAGCTCCGCATGCATTAGGTATTTGTCCCAATGCTCTCCCTTCCTTCCCCCCTGCCACAGGCCCCAGTGTGTGGTGTTGCCCTACCTGTATCCAGGTGTTCTCATTGTTCGGCTCCCACTTATGAGTGAGAACGTGTGGTGTTTGGTTTTCTGTTCCTGTGTTAGTTTGCTGAGGATGATGGTTTCCAGCTTCATCCATGTCCCTGCAAAGGACATGAACTCATTATTTTCTATGGCTGCATAGTATTCCATGGTGTATATGTGCCACATTTTCTTTATATCCAGTCTATTAATAAACATACGTATGTATGTGTTTTTATAGTAGAATGATTTATAATCCTTCAACTCTCAAAGTTTGTCTGACAGGCAGATTAAGAAAAGAACCAAAGTAACTTTAACATTTGCAGTGACTAGTATATGTGAGTTTCTATTTTATATATTTTTTTTCAAATTGGCTTTGTTAGTATATGCCTTTTATTTTGATTTACTTTTTTTCTCAAAATTCACAGTATAGATTTCAGAACCAGTAACTTTACAAGCTGATTAGTCGAGCTTGAAATACTACTTCTTTTATTATTTTCGTTTATGCTAAGTAGGTGGCTGCCACCTCATTAATTGTTGCTCACAAAAAGAAAAAAAGTCATCGTTTCATTGACAAAGTTTTACATGGAAATAGCAGTCATATCATCTTTATATGCTCAAAGATCACAGTAATTTGTGTAACAAAGTTTTATGTTCTCAGATGAACAAAATATGAATAAGTTATTATTCAAGACAAATGAGTAGACATCCTTTCTTTCTATGTAGTTGCAATGAGCTTTAACAAAATTAGTGGGAAGTAAAAGCTTTTGTTGCATTTAATTAACTCACCTTGATTTAGGTGTGAATGAGTCATTGACATTCTAAGAACTTCTTCATGGTCAAATTTTGGATCATCATTTCTCAAATATATTGTGACAGTTTAAATTGCATCCATCTAAGTCTTTTTTTGCATTAACATTCACATAACATTCATTGAGCAAGTCAACTCTGTGTTCTCTGTAAGAAATAAAATGAACTATTTAATGATTTTTCATTATAGGAGTATTCAAATATAGTTGCCAAGAATGAACACTTGAACTTTCCCCATTTTGCTAATAATATAGAATGTCTGCTTATCTTGTCACTGTTAGTCCTCTGATGATAAGAACTATAGCAAACCCGTTTTATTTAAAAACTCAAACACAAACATGCTGGAGACCCTGATATTAACTATAGTGCGTGCTCAGTAATGAAGTGGTCTGCATAAGTTATTTAACTCCTGCAAACGTCTCTCAAGGTAGGTATCAATATCCCAAGTTGACAGAAGAGGGAACTAAGACTCAAAGAGGATAAGGACCTTGCCTGTGATTTTTTTAAAACTACATTATATTTCCTTCAAGTGCTGATGACTAAAAATGTCTGAATATACTAATTTCATAGCAAATTGGAAATCTTGTTCACTTCAAAACGCTTTATGGAAAAAAAAACCACATAAGGGTCTTTTCTCAAATCTGATAATACAAGAAGTATTTGAATTAATTAGTAAGAACACCTGAATTAGAAAACACTCAGCAGTGTATATATTGAAAAGAACACCTGGGGTTAAATTTAATAAGGAAAAAGAACACAGCCGTTTTTTTTTTTTTAACAAGTTGAAATTTCAGTTATAGTTTAAAATTGTTAGACCACAGAATAAGTATTTTCTTTTCCCTCCTCATCCATCTTTGAAAATATAGTCAGATCTAGATAATTTCCTGTAATTAAACAAAAGCAATGTTTTTGTTAGTAAAATGTGATAAATTCAAAATCCTTTATATATGAAGATCATTATACTATTTAAAAAATAATTTTCATTCACATTAATAATAGAACTAGTTCCTGGGGTAGGATTAAGTGAGCCAGGGAAGCCAGGCTATCATTTACAAAAAAAAAAAAAAATTTGGAACCCATATATAGGCAGATACATATGTACATATATCAAGAAATTCTCAGGTCATAATTTGTCATATGTTGTAACTAATTTCAAGTCGATACAATTACAGTATGGAGAAACACAGAAAACTAAATACGTGTGGCCAGATAAATCTTGAGAAAAACTACTAAAGACAGCCAAACAACCGACCACATAACAAATTAAAATGAAGTCCAGTAGAAGATTCTGTGGAGGCTTCAAGCTCAGCAACTCAACTCAGGTGTTTCCTGAGACTTACTGTTTTGCTGTACAAGGTTTTCTAATTATAGTACTGTCCAAAAGAAATATAATGGGAGCTATACATTTAATTTTACATTTACTAGTAGCTATATTTCTAAAAAGAAACAGGTGAAATTAATTTTAATAACATTTTATTTAACCGAATATACAGTCGTAATATTATCATTTCCATATGTGACAAAGATTCTTTGCTCAGACAAATTTTAATCGGGCTTCTGAACCTTTCCTTAGGCCCCTCTATGTGCTTCCTTGAAAAGTCTAGCCTGCAAAAGAACCCAACTAAGTCAGTTTAGCCAAAATTCTCCATCCTCGATATCTGATCATCTTTGATATGTGATCAGATTCCTCATCTTTCACCTTCCCCCAGGAGATGTCTAATCAATCTGGCCCTTCTTTAGCAAGAATCCTGTTATGTAGGTTTATCCATGATCACCCCTCACCTCTGATGTTTTCTCTTAGTAATTTTCCATCCACTGACCCCCACCCCACTGTTCCTTGGAGATAAATTGGTACTTGTCCATGTTGTTTTCTGACCTGAGCCCAATCTTTCTCCCTTACTACAAGCCCCTGGTGCAGTGGCTCCTGTACCTATTGTCATGGTCCTAAACAAACTGAATAAAACCTTTTTTGTGGGAATCAGGGGGTTCAGGGTCTTGCTCTGTTGCTCAGTGAGGAGTTCAGTGACACAATTATGGCTCACTGTAGCCCTGAACTACTGGGCTCAAGAGATCCTCCTACCTCAGCCTCCTGAGTAGCACTACAGGGGCATGCCCCCATAACCAGTTAATTATTTTACTTTATTTTAATTTTTTTGTAGCAAAGGGGTCCCACTATATTGCCTAGGCTGGTCTCAAACTCCTGGCCTCAAGGGATCCTCCTGACTTGGCCTCCCAAAGCCTTGGGATTAAAGGTGGAGCCATCATGTTTAGCCTATTACCAAGCTTTAACAAGTATCATTACTTTTTCTTTAACATGTGTAATCAATTTAACAATTGCTAATGCAACCTTTTACATTTTTTCACAATGATTTTCATTTTATTCTATATTCAGTAGCCCATGGGGCAAGTGGCTACTGTATTGAAAACATAGTTCAAGCATTGTTGAATGATACGAGCTCTTAAGGATTTATTTTGAATCTGGCCATTAATATAATTAGAAAGGTCAATTTAGCAACGATTCAAATTAGATAAGCAAGTGTTTGACTTTCTTGTGGGCTCTCTAAAGTCTTAGATCACTCCAGCCTTGTATGCTAACTTGGGAGACTGATAAAGGCTATTGGTATCTAAAAGGCTGTGAAATGTATTTTTTCTTTAAAGCTGTGAAATATTGTAAGTGTACATCACCTAATTTGGATTGTAAATTTGATACATCTGCACTATGAAAGTGTCAGAAACGCTAGTGCAAACTTCAATTTTGAATAAAAAGATAAATCCAGAAAGAGAAGTGTGCATTAGCCACTCTTTTAAAAAAGAGGTGAGTGGGGAAAGGATTAAACTGATTTAACATAACAGGGAAAGAAGAGACAAGTCCTACTCTGACTCCTGTATTTTGTTGTGGCATTTTAAGAATTATTCATTGTACAGATCCAATTAAAAGCAACCAGTAGTTGTGAAAAGGCATGAAACTGCATCTTGTGAACAACGGTTGAAAGCACTTTGAATACGGTTTTTTAAAATGAGTATCTGTGGCAGGGGTAGTTAGAAGGATATGCATGGGAGAGGGAGTGGGAAAGGGTGATTAGCCGTGCAGGTAAATTTTTAAATGAATGTCACGTATAAGAGGAAAAGAGCAAGAAACAAAGACAAAATAACTACTCATAGAAGAGAGCGTAAGTTGGCTGAATACAGGAAAGTGGCTTATAAAAATGCAATGGAAAAAGATGTCTTGGGAGGCAGAGAAATTTCCACTAAAGAGGATAGGAACAGTTCATGATGCCTAAGGCTCCTCTCAACACTGAGAATTGATTTTATTGGTCTCAAACATTCAACAAAGAAGCAGTGCGAGGGTTTAATAGTTCACTGGCCTTGATGTTACATGCAGGCCCTGTGTCTTAATCTTGGCTCAACCTTTGGGAGTTACATCACCTTGAGCAAGTCTCCTGGACTCTCTGGGTTTGCTGCTTCTATAAAACTGAATTAATATAACCCACATTTACTTCTGGGATTATTGCAAGGCTTTGTAACCACATAAACACGCGTTTTTGTTTCCATGGGATAAGCCAATAAGGCCCCTTAACACAGCCCTCCTGTTTCTTTTTTCTTCTCCTCCCTTCCTACTCTATTTCGGGTTCTGTCTTCCCACACCCAGCTATTCTTGGTACCTTCCCTAACATGCACCTTATTTTACTGCTGCATTACAGAAAAGTCTAAGAATAAACACAAATAGGCTTTTCTGCCCTAAGGTAAGGCAAAGGGTTAATAGAGTCAAGATGTAAAGTCTGTAAAAATCATTTTTCTACATTTTTTCATCCTGCAATCCCTATCTATAAAATGAGCCAACTGCTGAAGGGTGTGCCAAGAAATCACGATTTCAGGACTGCCATGAAGAATGAGTATTAAACTCCTTATCAGAGACCTTTAACCCTTCTCCATGCAGGTCACCCTACACTGCCTTTAAAGTTTGCAGCAGAATCACTAATTTTTAAACTGTGGTCTTTACAGCTCAGATCTGGGAGTGTGGACATTGACCTTTCTTATTTAAACCATTGCCCAAGATGACATACAATTTCTAGCTGAACCCTTGTTTAGTCCCAATATCCCCTCTTTTCACTACCCTGACTCCTCTCAAGGGAGGTTCAGGAAGATAGTATATAGAGAGCAAAGGTGTGGATTCAAATTACTTGGGAACAAACTCCGTATCTACTACTCTGAGGCTGGGCCTCAATTCAGCTGCAAAGTGAGGATGATTCCTATCCCAGGGAGTTGAAGATTAGCGTTAAGTAAACTTCTAAACACCTAACCAGCATACAATAGATGGGGGCTACCAGAACTATCCAGCATTCTCACCCGCAAATGCCTTAGACGTCTCTGACAATTTGGTCTCCGAGACCTCCCAGAGCACCAGTAACTTAAACTCTGCTCTGCTGTCGTTCTGGGAGTCTCAATAGTAAGTGAACCTGCTGGCTCCCAATCCAGTCAAACCAGTAAATAGGCTGAGGCTTCACACTGCCTCGCGGATGCTCCATGGCACTTGACGGCAAGGGTTAAAAAGAGGTAATTTAAAACAGGATTTTCTCGGGCTTTAAAGCTCAAGTACCAGGTTGCGCCTCTCCTATCCGCAAGACACAAACCGAGGGGCGCGGCCCTGAGGCACACCCCCGGAGGGGCGTGGTCATGGCCGCGCGCGCCCAGGGGCGTGACCTTCTCAGCACCCACTGATGCGCTGATCCCTCAAGCGCTGTGTGGAATCCACAGCCCACGGCCGGTGTCGTTACTCTGCGCATGTGTAACTGCTAGGGGGCGGGCCGGCGGGACGCAGAATTTCTGGGAAAGAACGAACTGGATGGGGAGGGCGGGGCAGAAGGCGGAAGAGTTGAAATCAGCTGACCAGGCCTCGTGACGGCCTGGGCGTCGGCGACGCAGGCGTATTAGAGCGCGGTCGCTCAAAGCCTGAGCGAAGATGGCGGCCTCCAGAGTGAAACTCTGAGAGGCAGAGGGAGGAGGCGGAGGGGGCGGGGAGGCAGCGCCGCGGCGGCACCAGGAACCCGCGGCAGCGGAGCTGCAGGGCCCCGGCGGGGGAAAGGGGAAGTGGCGAGGGTGAGGAGGCCGGAGGGCGCCTCATCCCACTCTGGACGCTGAGCCGGCGACTGGAGGAGCTAGGGCTGGAACCTCTCCAGCCTCCCGCGAAGGTAATGCCGACTCCGGGCACTGGACTCTGAGGCTCTGCCTTACCCTCTTTCCACGCCGTGGGGACTTTGTGGGGCTCAGGGCAGGGAAAAAGAGGTGGTCTTGGCCGCCGCAGCCTGGAGCTGCTAAGGAAGCAGATTACCCTCCCCCCAGTCTGCTGGTCTGGTTCCTTCCGTTGGACCCCCCCCTCCAGCTAATGAGTGACATTAGCTCAGGGCACTGCCGTGTCCAGCCCCTCTCTCTTTTTGCCTGGTTTTCTTGTTTTCTACCTAGTACGCTCCTCCACTGGCCATAACGTATCCTTACCCCACACGCTCTTCATTTCCCTGTGGGCTCCGCCCTCGGGATTCCCTTCCAGTCTCCTAGTCTGAGCACCCTCCTGCTGGATGCCGGCAACTCTTGTTTCCTTGGGTCAGCGACCCTCCTTCCCCACAAGTCCTGCATAGACTGACTTTCTTTGCTTTGTTTCGTTTTGTTAGGAAATGAGCATCCGCGTCGTCTCTTCTCCAGTACTTTTTCCAAATTATTTTCTCCCCCAAGGCTTTTCCTTCCTGCAAGGCAGTTTTATTCACGTGGCCTTTCTTCCGCTGCTGTGATTTTACCTTTGAATGTGGCCTCGGAGTGGGTGAAAGACGCTCAGTGAAGTGGCTGTTAATCGCTTGATACTTAACTATGCTTAAGAATTGTGCCTTCTCTTAAATTTTCTCCTTTTGTATAGTGTTCCGTTAACCACTTTTGTCTTGAGATTGTTTCCTGTGTCCGTTGCTTAGAGGGGAAAAAAAATAAAGATTTCGCCCTAATGTGGCGGTGGTTTCCCAAGGTAATTATTACTTATTTTCCCTCTGCTTTTCCCTTTTACCCCATTCAGATTTCCTTCAAAAAGAATGTTCTCTACCTGATGCTATTGCGTCCTCTATGAAGGGCTTTATAGTGTACAGTTTAAGTTAAGCCTTTTGTAATAGTGTCTCAGGAAAAAAGTAGTAGTTCAGGACCTGCCCCCAGCAATTCTTACTGTATTTTCTTTCTCAGTTTATGGACCTCATAGGTTTCTAGGTTTGAAAGAACTGCCCGCAGGGAAAATGACTCACAGTGGTCAGGTTTTGTAATATATTACCAGTACTTTGAGTTTATGGGAGTATGAAACAGAATTTGCCTTAAAAAAAGAAATTGATAGAAACCACTTGTCAGAAACTGTCCGGAACACAATTCTTTGGGTTTTTGGAAAGTGGCTTATTGACTTATTTATCATATAACATAAAACCTTGTTAACATTTTATGTCATGTGAAACACTTTTTAAGCTACTATATCTCAAACTTATGCTATTAATATCACAGTGCATTCAGGGAACACACGTCCTTGTGTAGAAATTATTACATTATACTCTTTTGAAAAAAGGAAGTAGAACATATTAAGGGAGGAAAAGAGGATTATGAAGAAATAAGAATGTAAAGGACCTTAAGGTTAGAGTCCAGTTCATGGAAAATATCAGTATTTGTATTCCACTAAGAGGCATTGGATACTCCTTTTTTTTTTTTTTGGGGGGGGGGGGGGGGGGGGACGGAGTTTTGCTCTTGTTACCCAGGCTGGAGTGCAATGGAGCGATCTCGGCTCACCGCAACCTCGCCTCCTGGGTTCAGGCAATTCTCCTGCCCCAGCCTCCTGAGTAACTGGGATTACAGGCACGCACCACCAGCCCAGCTAATTTTTTGTATTTTTAGTAGAGACGGGGTTTCACCATGTTGACCAGGATGGTCTCGATCTCTTGACCTCGTGATCCACCCGCCTCGGCCTCCCAAAGTGCTGGGATTACAGGCTTGAGCCACCGCGCCCGGCCTACTCCTCTTTTTTTAAAGTGGTAGTAATAAATAGTATAAAATATAGCAATGTCATTAGTTGCAAACAAAATACTTAAGCTAAAAAATAGTATGAGCGAATGAATGAATTATTTGGAATAATTTAACTTTATCCACAAATAAATGGAAGATAGTTGCCTTGCCCAGACGGACTGTAACAATACTGGCTTTATTAAATTTGTTAAAAGGTTGATGGTGGAGTCTGGTTCCCAATAGGTAGTCAACTGGGGTTGAAATTGAAAAGATGTGTTTTAACTAATTGGGCTTCATTCCTCAACCAGTTCTATTTACGCAGGTGAATTTGAGGTTTCTGCTACGCATACCTGTCCCCTGCTTCTGATTGAGGTACTTTAAATTAGTAAATAGAAACCAGGTTGTGCAGATAAACTGCAGCACAAATTTGCTACAAATAGGTTTTGGCCTAAATGTTCACTGTCATGTTTGGCAGTAAAGGGGAGTTATTAATATTTTGAAAGAGATCCTTGAGTCACTTGTTTCTCCACTTTATTAGACCCAATAAAGGTTCCCTTTTTATACAAAATAATTAGTAACACCTTTTTTGCTCTCCTTAGTTTATAAATAGTATAACCTCCTCTGGCTTTGGCCCGGAGACAAAAAGAAGCTTTGCTCTCACTTCTACAACAACAAAAACCCTACGCTACAAATTCATGACTTTTTTGAAATCTATTAAAGAGCTGAGTCCACAGAGCAAAACCACTGGCTGAAATTTTGAGAGATAGTGCTTACAGAGAGAGTAGATGGCAGTTTCTGTTTACCTTCTTCAGACACAACTGGACAAAAAGCATGATGAAGCCTTAACGCACTATCTTACAAACTCTTATCCACAAGCCTCACTGGGTCTACTCCTAGAAAAGATTGGAAAGAACCCTGGGGGTTGTGTCTGTTGTGCATATGGAGAGGGTGGGGAACAGCAACAGAACTTCTAAGAGGGTCAAGAAACTGCCTGATTGTTCCCCTTTGTCTCTTCTGTGGAAAACAGCTTTAATCTAGGGGGGGGAGAAGGGCATCTCTGTTGGCCCCATTGGTGAACATTCAGGGGGTAGATGAGAACAGGGAGAGAATCTTATGCCTGGAGGTGGGGCCCTGAGCCCAAAACTGCAGCCAGGGGTGGTCAGCAGAGCCAAGAAGTCTACCTTCATGAGATTCAGGAACACAGTTGACTTAGACTGATCCTTAATCAGAACATCAGACGGTATCCCCCATCCCCTGCCACAAAGCTAAAAAGCTTTTAATAACAAGGAACCACAAAATCCTACTAGAAAAGGAATAAGTTTATGCAAAGAGGCACAACACAAAGAATCTAAGGAGTATTGCTGTAGTAAACCAGGGAGACAAACTTCTGCAGATACATGAAGGCTGTAATACACTGAGGATAACTATGGCAGTAACAGATCACAAACTAAGTCCAACTCCTAACCAGATTAACACAAACCCTTCACCAAAGGCCTTATAAAGAACAGGTGTGCTCGTATAGTCAAAAATTATTCGCCTCAGTCACTATTGTCCTACACATGTCCAGCTTTTAACCAACAATTGAGGCCCATGAAAAAGCAGAAAAAAACTCCCAAGAAAAAGAGCAGCCATGAAGATACATTTATTAAAAAGGTAGCTTAAGAACAAGAGCACTGTTTTGTATATGTTAAATGGTTAAATACTGTAATTAGGGGATTTCGCCTTGAAAAAGTTTGCTTGAGGCAGTGAGCATTGGGTGGAGTTGCAGTTGGTGAATTACTGTGAAATAGTAGAAGGAAAAAAGTCGTAAGATGGTGTGGAAAATTAGTAACGTGAATGTGTGTGGTTCATGACCACCTGAGTTTTGCGTATGAGTGTATTTTGTGAATTCCTACATGGCTTAGATCAGTTGGATACAGTTTTCTGCATTAACTTAGTGTTGGGACAGAATCACTATAAGCAAATGTGAAATTTGCATCATGCTCCTATTGTTCAGTAATATACCAGTCCTGTTAGAATAAATTCACATCAAAAAGCATTATAGCAGAACTGACTATATACATTTCAATATGTAAACAGTTAAGTATGATTATACTAGAATACGCAAAGGGTATGTCAGAGGCTTGTACCTTTACATGGAACCATTTTGAGTTTTGACAAATGTTGATGGCTACAAGTTTGTCACATTGGTGACTCAAATACCACAATTGGGATTATCATGAGCATTGTTAGAAAAGAACAGGGTTAATAAAGTATAATCTCTTAATTTACATTATAGTTACATTCCTGGAAAAATCTGTGTATATGTATATTAAACCCTGCAAAATGTACTTGGTGAGTTATGTATAAAACAATTAGATTCTGGGTTTCATTCATTATAAATAGATTTTTGCCTACATGATTAACCATTTGGACTTTTGGGCTTTTTTTTTTTTTTTTGATACCAGATCTCACTCTGTTGCCCAGGCTGGAGTGCAGTAACAGGATCATAGCTCACTGTCGCCTCGATCTCCTGGGCTCAAGTTATCCTCCCACTGTAGCCTCCTTAGTATCTTGTACTATAGGCACACCGTGCCCAGCTAATTTTTTAATTTTCGTTTTTAGTAGAGAGGAGGTCCACTGTGTTGCCCAGGCTGGTGTTGAACTCCT